TTCCTTTTAATGTCCTTGACAACTGTATGAAGTTGTATTGAATTCCAAACAGTAGTTTTCAAGTTATGCTCTGGACAAGGAAAAGTAACAAAGGGCAATAACTCTGTAATTTGTCAAGATGGAGTTATGGTTCTTGCTCACTGCACTTCCTCTCAATGTGCTTGACCATTGTATGAAGTTATATTGAATTCCAACCATTAGTCTTCAAGTTATGCTCCGGACAAAAAAAAAGCAATGGAAAAGTAACAAAGGGCAGTAACTCTGTAATTACTTTAGATAGAGTTATGGTTCTTGTGCACTGCACTTCCTCTCAATGTGCTTGACCATTGTATGAAGTTATAATGAATTCCAACGATTAGTCTTCAAGTTATACTCCAGACAAAAGAAAGCAATGGAAAAGTAACAAAGGGCAATAACTCTGTAATTACTTTAGATAGAGTTATGGTTCTTGTGCACTGCACTTCCCCTTACTGTGTTTGACAATGGTATGAAGTTGTTTTGAATTCCAACCAGTAATTTTCAAGTTATGCCCCGGACAAGGAAAAGTAACAAAGGGCAATAACTCTGAAATTAGTCAAGACAGAGTTATGGTTCTTGTACACTGCACTTCCTCTCAATGTGCTTGACCATTGTATGTAGTTATATTGAATTCCAACCATTAGTCTTCAAGTTATGGTCCGGACAAAAGAAAGCAATGGAAAAGTAACAAAGGGCAATAACTCTGTAATTACTTTAGATAGAGTTATGGTTCTTGTGCACTGCACTTCCCCTTATTGTGTTTGACAATTGTATGAAGTTGTTTTGAATTCCAACCAGTAGTGTTCAAGTTATGCCCCGGACAAGGAAAAGTAACAAAGGGCAATAACTCTGTAATTAGTCAAGATAGAGTTATGGTTCTTGTGCACTGCACTTCCTCTCAATGTGCTTGACCATTGTATGTAGTTATATTGAATTCCAACCATTAGTCTTCAAGTTATGGTCCGGACAAAAGAAAGCAATGGAAAAGTAACAAAGGGCAATAACTCTGTAATTACTTTAGATAGAGTTATGGTTCTTGTGCACTGCACTTCCCCTTATTGTGTTTGACAATTGTATGAAGTTGTTTTGAATTCCAACCAGTAGTGTTCAAGTTATGCCCCGGACAAGGAAAAGTAACAAAGGGCAATAACTCTGTAATTAGTCAAGATAGAGTTATGGTTCTTGTGCACTGCACTTCCTCTCAATGTGCTTGACCATTGTATGTAGTTATATTGAATTCCAACCATTAGTCTTCAAGTTATGGTCCGGACAAGGAAAATGCAACGGACGTCTGGACCGACCGACCGACCGACCAAGCGACCACCGGGTGACTCCTATATACCCCCCCCCAAACTTCGTTTTTGGGGGTATAATAAAGATAGATTTACATTGTATTTATATATATCCTCTTCAGAATCATTTTCTTATCACACATACCATGGACTGTAGTTAAAGAACGCGCAAATACAAAATATACATTCAAATTCTATTTGTTTTTGAAGATTGAGTGTTGCAATTATCACATGTAACCTGGTAATGAAAGTTTGAAAATAAAGTTTTTCAAATATCACCAAGTCTAATGTTACCTGGTAATTAACCGCCTTCAAAAGTAATTAATCTTCAAAGAAATTTAAGCGCTGTGTAAAAAATAATCAAAAGTTACTTTTATTTCGCATAATACTGACTCAAACTGTTAAGATTTTTATTGTTTTTCTAGCTATACATTAAAATATATCAAAAATATATCTTTCTACAGGCATTCAAATAAAAAGAATATTTCAAATATACGAGGCCGGAATCGAGACAGCCACACGAGAGTACTTTTAAAACTGTTACGATGATTATCTACTTCACTGCACCGACTTTTGAAAACAGATTTACAAAAAAATAATAATGATATTAATGGTGACGGAAACTTAAATTTTCCATGAATATGGCAATATAAAAATCTCGGCAATATTTTGTACTAAAAAATGAATACATTTTCTTCACGTGTTGAGCGAATTGTAAAGCCCGCAATACATTTCCCATCAAACAATTGTGCGTTAATAAATTTGACTACATAACCCAATAAAACTTAAATATTGCACCTTTGTTCATCTGTGAATAACTTAAATCGGCTTATTTTTTATTTTGAAATAAAATTTATTATGTTACCATAATAATAAATTTCAAGTACCTGCTTTTTATATAAAAAATGTACATTTACCGTGGATTTTTTCTCAAGTTAATTTTTTAATCGTCGTTGCGGACAGATAAACTGTACCTTTAAAAAACTAGAGGATGCTTTTGTAAAAAAGCGCATGTCTCCCCCACTGCTGAGAATAACTGTGAATGGAAACAGGAATGGAACTGGAGAAATCCGGAAATGAGAAAATGACCAATGGTCACTGTGACCTTAACCTTTGACCTACTGACCCCATAAACAAGAGGGATCATCTGCTCAATAAAACCAATCATCCTATGAAGTTTGAGGGTTGTAGGTCTAAAGGAACTCTAGTTATCATCCGGAAAGGAGAAATTAACCAACGGTCGCTGTGACCTTGACCTTTGACCTACTGACCATTAAAACAATAGGGATCATTTGATTAATAAGACCAATCATCCTATGAAGTTTTGAGGGTTGTAGGTCAAAAGGAACTCTAGTTATCATCCGGAAATGAGAAATTGACCAACGGTCACTGTGACCTTGACCTTTGACCTACTGACCCCAAAAACAATAGGGATCATCTGCTCTATAAGACCAATCATCCTATGAAGTTTGAGGGCTGTAGGTCAAAAGGAACTCTAGTTATCATCCGGAAACGAGAAATTGACCAACGGTCACTGTGACCTTGACCTTTGAACTACTGACCCCAAAAACAATAGGGATCATCTGCTCAATAAGACCAATCATCCTATGAAGTTTGAGGTCTGTAGGTCTAAAGGAACTCTAGTTATCATCCGGAAACGAGAAATTGACCAACGGTCAGTGTGACCTTGACCTTTGACCTACTGACCCCAAAAACAATAGGGATCATCAGCTCTATAAGACCAATCATCCTATGAAGTTTGAGGGCTGTAGGTCAAAAGGAACTCTAGTTATCGTCCGGAAACGAAGAATGGACGGACTGACGGACGGACAGACTGACGGACGGACAGGGCAAAAACAATATGTCTCCCCTCGAGGTGGGGGAGACATAATAAATTAGATATTTGAATTAAACAAGTATTTTTCTTCAAAATAAACTTTAAATTTCCAAAATCAGATAATAAATGGAAAAGTTTTGTGGTATTTTGTAAAGTAGGTATCCGTTGCGAACGGGCATTTACGCTTAGCGGCGGTAAATTATCGATCGATGTACCTTTATCGGATGCACGACAAGATATTTAAGCATTTATATAGGGTTAACTGGGAGTGTCCAATCCCTGTAATATAAATCCGTGTCATGACTAACCTCCATGCCAAATATGAAGACTGTGGGTCAAAGCAATCTTAAGTTATTGGGCCGACAAGCTTTTTTTTAGTCAAAGCCCCTGTGACCTTGACCTTTGACCTGGTGACCTCAAAATCACTGTATTTCTGTTTAACTGTAAATTTAAATACCTTCAGTGTCAAAAAATGTGTTGAAATATATACTGAGAGGAAGCTAAGATCACCAGCTTTAAATTTGTGTAATAAATTTTAAAATCAGACATTAAATCGCACTAGCAATTTAAACACGTCTAAATTTGCATTCTTTTGCAGTGCTTATATAGAAGCATATGATATTAAGTAAACACCTTTATGTTTCATATTTTTTACAAACAAAATGCATTTAGGAAACACATTTTTATTAGATCTATATTAATTTTATCAAATCTGCAAGACAAATAATATTAAATAACAATCTTTTTCTAAATATATCTACACTTTATTGAGGCAGAAGTACAATGTATAATTATATAATAAGATATTTCTTATCATTCATTATTTACATGCAAAGCAAATACGTTCTATATATATATTTTTGTCAAGTGGGCCGAGTTGACCCGTGCAGAGTTGACCCGTGCCGAGTTGGTATAGGGCCCAGTTGACTCTTTTCCCTTTATTATCATGATGCAGTATACTTTTTTATGTATTTCCGGAATTACGGAATGAATGAGACTGTCTAAAACACAAACCACTCCGGGGTCTAAACCAGGAATATTGCCGAAGGGAAACTACTCTTTCTAGTTCTAGAAAATTCATTTAAACTAATTAAGATGACATAAATATACCGTGTCTGTAATAAATTTATACGCTATGTATATTAAAAATACGTAATATCTATTAAAATTTATTATACATTGAATTTATTGCAATCCGACAGGCGACTTAATTAAATAAGATCAATAAATAAGCCAGCTTGGCTCTCACATGGTCAAGAAAAACACGTGTTATGGCATATATAAAAATCAATGATACTATTAGTTTAAAACAAAGTAAACATAAGAAGCTAGACCGATTTAATGCACATTTTAAAATGCAACGGAAGAAAAATAAATATTACCTGTTAAAGGTTGCTACAATTTGTCCTGAAACTGATGTTCGTTTAAAAATGAATTGGATGTCTTCAATGTTTGTGTGTATGCTCTTCAGGGAGGAGACTGATCAAAGTGACATTGACCTATTGACCTTGCTGTACTAAGCATATCTAAAATATAAAATTGAACACGGAATTTATAAAAACTGAATCAATTAAAATAATTTTTAAACACTCACGTAGAACAATTTACAAATAAAAAGATTCATATGATATAATTTCCCAATGACAAACGTTTAATGAAAAGAAAAAGCTTCTGATGCAATATAAAGTTTTAGATATCCTTTACAACCCTAATCAGCTGCTTTGTGAGGAGAATTCCTTAAATGTTGTATAATGAAACATATTTTGCATCGAAGATACAAATCAAAGGCAAAACCATTTTAAAGGAATTATAATTTTCTATTGTATGATTCTATTTATGATTTTTCGCAAAGATAACTTTCAACAAATGATTATATAATTGGTGCACAATTTCCTCTTTCAGCTAGTCCCCTGATCAAGGTCATTACACCGGTAAAGCACATGCTCTTAGGAAGATAGAATTTTCTCGACTGTGTTAGTTACGCAAAATCTCGGAATGGTGAGATAAATTTTATGATTTTTGTACTTAATTTTCGCATTTGCTCCTCTAAAATTTGAATTTCATGCAGACAATTATTCTGTTTTACGGATATACTTATTCGTACTCAAAAATTTCGCCTCGACTTGAGGCTCGTATGATATTTCTTTCTACAATTTCATTATTATGCAATCACATTGATTGGTGAATATTCCAGTTTATCATGTTAATATCAAATTAATGAGAACATAATGGACATATCATTAGAGACCGTGGGTGTGTATATATGAGTTTAATATGAAATTAGGCAAAGCCTATGAACGGGCAAGTCAGTTATAAATCATTTAGTTTTCCGTTTTAAATGTGTCATTCGGTATTTCATGCACCACTTCCGTTTTCACTCGGAACACTTGATGAGTATTATTAATCGGAAAAGTTGCGATTGTCCGTTATTGGAATACCTCACCTTTTATCATTGAGTTACATTGAAAATGGCGGCGCCCAACTAGAACTGACACTGAAAATTTCATTGATAGGTATAGAATTCTATATATTTTTTAATTGCTTTTTATTTGATTTCCCTTTAAATATACACGTGTAGTCTATAGCCGGGCAAGCCAAAGCCCGGGACCGCGAATTGACTTCCCCGTATTAATTCCACAGGCACGAGTATTGGACCTGGGAAGAAAAATTTGTAATGACAGACTATTCTCTCCCTTACCAGTTCCTCTCCCTGATGGTTCTCTCCCTAACCGTTTCCTTCCCTGACGGTTCTCTCCCAAATTTGAAATATGCAGACAGTTCTCCCCCAATTTTATTTTTATAAGTTATCATTTAATTTTGACTTAATCTTATAATATTTCTTAATGAAGATTATTTTTGTTTGATATTAACTGCATATTTTATGTTTTATGTTTTATGTTTATCAGCTGCAAAGTGTTTGTTAATTTAACACCTTTTTTCAGTATTTTAATCCTATCAACACCTTTATTGTGAGAGATATAGATCATTGGACAGTGATTGATATACACCTGTAATTATGTTAAGGTCTAGCTTGTGATGTTCATTTATTTGTTAAATAGTGATTAAGGTGGAAACAAGTATGTTCTATAAAATAAATAAACAACAACTGGTATGCAAATACATTCCACATTTACTTTTTTACGAAATTGAATTAAAAACATGTAGTCATTAACTTGAAACAATTAATAATACTTATTCATCAACACCTTTTCACAGCTATTTTAATCTAATCAACACCTTGATTTCTTATAATAATAATAATAATTAAGACTTTATTTAAAGAGGCAACATAGTTGGGCAGGCCAAGTCTTCCCTATGAGCCTCTATCAAATATACAATGTACATAATATAAACATTTACAAACAAAAGGTATGATAAACAACAACAAAATTACAAATACAATGTAGTTAAGAAACATGTAAAATGAAAATCTAGGGAAAAAACATTATATAAGAATATAAACATTGCAATTCAGAAATACATTTATCATTTTATAATGTAACTTGATGTGTTATATGTTTCAAGTTAATGACTACATGTTTTTAATTCAATAATAATTGGAAATAAGCTTTTAGCTTAATGGGCAATCCTAGGGTTACATAGAACATACTTATTAATTAATCTCAGAGCAACAGATAAGGTGCGTATTTGCGTATTTACGCAATTAATTTTATAAAATACGCAATTGATTTTTTAAGAATGCGTATCAAAACCCATTAAAATAAATAAAATACGCAATTGTCTTAAAAACCCGTGCGTATTGTCATTTTCATCACCGCAAAATTATTCTATCGTACGCTCGTAGTTTTGGACAAATTATTTCGATATGCATGCTATCCGAATATTCCCGAATCAATGCTCACTAATCAACGGTCTTCTTCGACGGTCCCCGGTCTCCAAAGACCGACTAAGTCATATCAATAAAGCGCGACACCGTCGATTTGTCTACTCAGGTCGACGGTCTTTACAGACCGGCAGAGACCGTTGATTTTGCGGAGACCGTCAATAAGTAGGTCCCACCTGTATCAATAGACGCTTTGAAAGCAATATGGCGTCGTGCAAAAGGGAAAATGATTTGAAACAAAACAATCGTAAATAATCAAAAATCAGTCAGAAAACGAACTTGTTAAAATATTATGAAACATAACATGAGCATTTTATATAAAAATAAAACAATTGTGAAAAGTTCTAGTAAATTGTTAATCCTATTTTCTTTTTAAAACAGTTTAAATTTTATTGATATTGAAACCATAAAATTCATATTTTCATAATTGAATACCCAATTGATCTTGAAATCATAGGGTATCGAGTTTTAGAATACCCAATTAAATGGAGCCAATACCCAATTCCAAAGGAAATGATGGAGTAATACCCAATTCACTTTTAAAGCTTATCTGTTGCTCTGAATCTTATAATTATTTTTGTGCATTTATTTGTGTGTTTTTATATATATGCAAGTTGATTTCTGTGATAAAATTGTATGTGTATAATTATGTCTATTCCCTGAATAAATCGATACGATTCCCACCAGAAACCACCATTTAGGCCATTATTTTTTGATATTTTGGTTTACTGACCCGCGGCATCCTTTTTTTGGGAAAATGAAAAATAAAAATCTCCCCCTAAAAAAGGTACTCTAAATATGTGCTAATTAAATTTAGATCTAAATGTTCTATAGGAGATTTATAGAAGTCCAACTTATTACTTATTAGACTTGTCAAAGAAATGCCGAGATTATTTTTGACGGCAATGTATTTTGGATGAAGAAAAATGTCTGCAAAATGGGTTAACCCATTCTCGCCAAATTAATTAGGCTAATATCTATAGATTTAAAATATATTTCATGTATGTATATACAAAATTATATGTTTTTAAGGTCCAATTGTGTAGAAATGTCAAAGAAAAAAAAAAAAAAGGCCAAAATATAAAAAAAAAAAAGAAAAAAAAAAGGCCAAAATACGCTGTAACGCATGTTATCACTTTGATGGATACAGCGAGAGAAATCTTATTCAATGAGAATCAGATTAAATTAAATCTAAAAAGAAACAAGCTTTTTCTATTTTTAGCTCCTGTGACCTAATTTTTGACCCAGGGCTTTTTTCCTTCTATAACAGGGGCCGAAATAAGGCCCCTTCACAATTCAAAATTGCACTTTTTTTTCACAAAGTGGTGGAAAAAAATCCACAATTTCAATAGAAATTTCACAAAATATTTGGACTTTGTCTTTGAAATACATTGTTTACCCTCCAGTTAAACATGATTTACGCCAATTTCAAGAACACAGAAATAGTTTCAATCAATTTAAATGGTTTAAGCACATGTGAAGCGGGTAAAAGTACCAACTTGAAGACATTTTCCGGTTTCATAATTTTTTCACAATTTTATGACAAATCACGCTTTTTTCATAAAATGAACAGGTCCAGGCCCCTTCACAATTTTGACAAAAAATGCCCTGTGACCAGCCAAGACCCATCTTCGAACTTGACCTAGATGTCATCAAAACAACCTTCCTGACAATTTTCCAGAATATTTGGATGAAAACTGCAGTCACTAGAGTGTCAACAAGCTTTTTTTTTTTTAGCTCCTGTGAACTAATTTTTGAACAGAGATGACCCATCTTCGAACTTACCTTAGATATCATCTAAACAACCTTCCTGACAAATTTCCAGAATATTTGGATGAAAACTGCAGCCACTTATTTTAGCTCCTGTGACCTAGTTTTTGACCGGAGATGACCCATCTTCGAACTTGACCTAAAATCATCTAAACAACTTTCCTGACAAATTTCCATAAAAACTGCAGCCACTAGAGTGTTAACAAGCTTTTTCTATTTTTAGCTCCTGTGACCTTATTTTTGACCGGACATGACCCATCTTTGAACTTGATCTAGATATCATCAAAACAACCTGTACGAAATTTTCTGCACGGAAATGGGGCGGAATTCAAAGGGAGATTCAGCCCAGAAATTTAAATTCTCCAAGAATACACAAGTGTTTAACCATTTGCTTTTGGCACAGATTCCAGCCGGATTCCAGGCGGAAATGGAACGGATTCTGGGATGAATAGGGAAGAAATATGCAAATGAGTTTGGGCGGAATTTTGACGCGGAATCTTGGGGCGGAATTTCGGAGTGGATTTGTCAAGCAAGGTTCTGGGCGGAATTCTGGGACAGAATTCAGGGGGCCGAATTTTATGAGTTTAACATGATCACAAATAATGTAACACATTAAATTTTCTTTCACAAAAGTTAATAAAAAAAAAAATATCATATCCTTTAGTCCAAAATACAGAATAGAATACCCTACATTCACTATAACACAAACAGTTTTTTTCTAGCTGCAGGTTTTGGAATCTTAGAATCCAACACTTTGTTGTTTTTTTTTTGCAATTATTTTGCTGGAAGTGTTTCAATCATAAATTTGTTTCAAATGTTTCTGATTATTTAAATTACTATTTCTTTAATCCATGTCTGTTTTAAGTCCCCTGCCTGTGTTTCCTAGAACTTCTTGTGGTTGTGCTCACCTTTAATAACAAGATATGTTTGTAAAACATGTATGCCCCCTATGGGCAGCCAATTTGTCATGTGATCAGGTTGTTATGCATAACTTCTGACCCAGTGAACAAGCAATTAATAAGGGTTATCTAGTATCTACTGGTCATGACTAGTCACAAGGTAATAATTATTGTGACCCCATAGGTTGTGTGCAGCAATTAAAGTTATTTAAAATCTTACCAAATAATATAAACATAAATTCTATGATAATGAATCACATAGGCCTTATTAATGACAGCCAAGTTGTTATATTACATAACACCTTCAATTGTGTATACCAAAAGCACATAAAAATATTAACCAAGGCAACTTGAGTTGTTGAGTAATTGGTCGGAAACGGTCATTAAGTACAAGGTCACTATGACATTGACCCCTTGACCCCAAAATCAAAAGGGATCATCTACTGGTCATGATAAATTATCATACCAAGTTTGAAGTTCCTAGG